GGGAAAACAACAACCAGGTTCAGGTCCTAAAAACAGAACCTGTTTTGTCTTTGCCCAACCAGCCAAATGCTGGTTCCGCTGGTTTCCCCTGGCCCTGTAGCATGCAGATACAGACAAACAACATCCAACCTTCACCTAAATTGTACCCCTATAGTGCCTGCCCTGCTACACTATAGTCAACCAAACAAAACAGTACAATTTCGAGTTGGATAGAACTGAATCTGCGCAATCAAGTAAGTTGAACCGCAAAGCTTCCATCTTGGGTTCCTTTGCGAGCTCGTCCTTTCTGCTTGTACTGTTCATAGCGCGTACAATGTTATGCCGAAGCGCACATTGTGCGAGTACCTGCAAATGCTTCAAGCGAAAATTGCGAAAGCAAACAAACACACGAACATACCATTCACACGCAAATGCATTCGCACACACATACTCGTACAAACAGACGGCAGGATGTCGTGCAATGTGAATTTGCACCCAACAGGGGTACCCGGGAAGGGCGAGGCGATGGGCGAGGCGGGCAGCCCAAGGGACGGGTTTGAGCCCAAGGCGACGGACGCGTAGGCAGCAGCGCGGCCTGCCGGGACGTTGGGGGCGTTTGCGGTGGCTGTCTGCGAGGGCGACGGGCCACTCTGTGGCGCGCTGGAAGCGGCAGCAGCAGGGGGTGCGGGTGAGCGCGCCTGATGCGCCTGGGCCGGTTTGGGGGAGGCGGTGACGTTGGTGGAGGGGGGGGATGGGGATTGGCTGGCGCCGGGGTCAAAGCACGGTTTTTTTGCGACGGGGAGCTCAGCAGAGTCAGCGAGGTGGTCGACCAGGCCTTCGGGCAGATCTTCCACCAGGAGGTCTTCTCCGGATGCGATGAGGGCATCCTCTTCGGCAGCGGACATGGTCTGGTCGGAGTTGTGAGTATGCTCTGCCATAGTGCAAGATGAGAAGGAGAGGCGTGGAGGGATATAAATTCTGAAGTGAATGCAAGAAGGAGAAAAAGGTCTGTTATATATAGAGCGGGAGAGCAGGGCCGCGAGAGGGGAGGGAGGGGCAGGGGGAGTGGCGGACAGCATGAGTTCCTGACGAGCTATGGGCCATAAGCGAAGGGAACCTAGGAGGCATCGTGGATGGGGGGTGTGTGGAGAGCGGGCAGGAAAGGGATGAGAGGGGAGAGCGGGGGGGACAGAGACGTTACGGTAGTTACGGAGCCGTGGCGAGGGAATTAAGGCCATGAAAGTGGGCTGGCAGCCTAGTCGGCTTCCCGAAACCCAGGACCTTACGAGGGTCCAGACGCATGCGAGCGGGAATTGAAACTGGCGGCCTAGGCGGCGCGCCGAGTCTCCAAGCCATGTTAGTGGCAGAGCCGGAGGTGGCTAGGGAGGGATTCGTGGGGTGGCAGCGCCAAGCTGGCAGGGCGCGGGAAAGGAACTGAAATCGGAGGCGCCCCGAGAGCCGTGGCACGGTGCAGAGAGGAGGAAAAGGCGAGGAACCGGAGATGGCGGACCGTGGGAACGAAGAGGTTCCGCCTGATAAGGAGGAGGAAAAACCGGGTTAAGTTTAGCCAGCAACCTGGAGTGTGGGCTGACAAGGCCGGCCTTCGTGATTATTGTAAGGAGGAGGGGGGTGGTTGGGGGAGGGCGGTCAGTTGGCATGGGCTTCGAACTTGCACAAGCGAGGGACCTGGGAGAAGGGGAAACGAGAGGGGGATGGGGGGGGGTTAACGAGGAGGATTGGGTAGCGTGGCAGAAGTGTGTTGGCATGATAACGTGAGGGTTTGTGCTGGGATTTACGGCGAGAAAACGGAGCTTCTGTAGGGTCGGGGAAACTTACCTGGCGGGAATGTTGTCTTGAGATGTTGAAATCGAGAGGTGAAGGACGTTGAGCAGAGAGAACTTCAGTGGTTGAGAGGGATGAGAAGGGAGTTGAGAGGGGGTCAAAGTCTTGCTTGGTAAGGGACGAAATGAGGTGTAGGGGAGAGAAAACGCAAAGCGTTAGAAAAAGGAAAACGAAAAGCAGCAACTTACCTGGAAACGAAACTGAGTCGAGTAGAGTGAACCTGCCTAGGTGGCTTAGGGTTTGACTAGTTACGCTGCCTAACGGGCGGAAAGTTGGGGCCGCATAAGCCATCTGCTTGGGTTGGTGAGTATCAAGAGCAGTCAAGAGCCGTTTTGTTCAAACATACTCCGAGATGGGATGACTGATGAGATGAGAGAGTGGTGCGAGATTGTGCCAAGTTGGCTGCAAGGCCGTGAGGCGGATGTGAAATTGTCCGAGGGCCTATCTGAAACACGAATTAGCGAACTCGGCTCCGAGTGGGTTCAGACAACACCCACACCAACTGTCCAATTGCTGGTTGAAAGGGCAGTTCTCAGCAGTCGTTTGTGGTGCTGGATGCTAAAATGAAAATGAGACTTAGTAGTTATATTATTCAGCAGTATCAACCCAAACACGAATGAATCCCAACCTGAAATGAAGACACCTGTCAGTGTCAAACGTTGCTGCAACACAACAAAGCTGGATGAGCAATGGTAATGATGCGACCTGCTACGATCATGCGACTATAGAAGCAATGTGACGACTCAGCTTCGACTAGCGAGTCGGCAAACGTCGCGGGTTGTTATCCCCCGATGTGTCACAGAATGTATTGTTGTTTGCAATAGATTCAGTTACTTGCTAGTGTAGGTGTAGTTGGGTTATGCGAGGTACTATAGAAGGTGAGCTTGGTGCGTGGGGAGTGACGCAAAGTGGTGATTCAGGGACTTGCGAGGTGCAGGGTGGGACAAATTCAAGGGCGAGCCTAGGGCAATCTGAAGGGCCAATCCTAAAGCCTAGCGGGCAGAGCCCAATGTGAGTTACGGGAAGAACATTCCCCTGAAACGAGGGAGAGACCAGGGTGGGGATCGGAGAGATATGGGGAGGCTCGAGAGAGACAGGGGGGGAGGAGCCCAAGTATGACAGGGCAGAGAAGGCGGCAGCAGTCATAGTTAAGGGCTGGGGGAGGAAGGGCAGCCATGGAAGGAATTGAGCGAGTGCTGTATGGGACAGAGTCAAGAAGCAGGGAGTTGAGGGAGAGGAGGGGAGAGAGTAGCAGGAGGAATGAGTTCTCAGGAACTCGGGAGTTGGGAAGGTGGAGTGTGCAGGCCCCACCTCAGGTGGAAGCAGGATCAGGAACCAACCTAAAGAATTACCTGATGCAGATCGCAAATGTGAAGTACCGCTGCGATAGAAGCGGAATGGACCCTATAGAGTTTTTCTTAAGCCTACCGAATACGTTGGGGGGCGAAGCTGAAACGCTGTACCAAATGAAGATGCCAGAGTGGCTGAGGCGAGCAGAGGAGGATGGAGATGATCTCACGATGCTGTTCTTTGAGCAACTCAGAAAACAGTTCCCGGGCCACACCGCCGAACGTATCCTAGAGTTTCAGGAGTTTAGGCGGGGTGAGGCAGAATCACTACTCACATACTTTGGGAGGCTCACTAATCTAGCAGAGGATGCGGTCTGCACGGACAGCAGTATGTTGATTAGCAAGTTTTTGGGGGGTTTAGATGAAGGACTAAGTGGAGGACTGAGAATGAGAGTTTATGAGTTAGGAGCTGAAGCAACGCTGGAGGAGGTGTTTGAACTGGCGGAGAAAGTGGAGCTGGCGCAGAGGCGGTACGAGGCGTACCTGTCGAAGGTGTCAGAGAAAGGGCGGCCTAGGTGGGCTGCAGCGATGATAAAAGAGGACGAGGGTGGGGAGGAGCACTGGCAGGAGAGGCAGGCAGAAACACGGACGTGCCACAGGTGCGGGCAGGAGGGGCATATCAGGAGGGAGTGCAAGAACTGCGATATGTGCAGAAAGCCTGGGCACCGCCGAAGGGACTGCCCAGATGTACCGAGCTGTGAGAAATGTGGGAAAAAGGGGCATCGGGCAAGGAACTGCTATGAGAAAGTACGAGACGCAGGAAGATCACCCGAGGAGATTGAGGAACAGATCAAACAGTTACGAGCCCACCTGCAGACGCTGGGAGAGAGAACTCAGGGGCAAGCGGGGTTGTACGAGGAGGAGGAAGTGGAGCAGGAGCCGGAACGCTCCTGTGCGGCGCTGCGTGGCCATGCGGACATGCGGCTGCGCAGTGGGGGTAGGGACGTGCGAAGGGAGCAAGTGAGTAAGGTGGGGGCATGGGTGTGCATGTTAGTAACACCAGCAGCAACGGAAGTAGACGAGAAGGACGAGAAGGTGGGAGCAGGAGCGTGTGTACCAGCAACAGTGGAAGCAGAGGAAAAGGATGAGCTGGTGGGGGCAAGAGCATGTGTACTAGCAGCAGCGGAAGCGGAAGTGGTGGATGAAGGGGTGGAGGCACAGGCATGTGTGGAGGCAGCAGCGGAAGAGGAAGGGAAAGAAGAGAAGGTGGGGGCACAGGCGTGTGTAGCAGCAGCAGCGGAAGAGGAAGGGAAAGAAGAAAAGGTGGGGGCACAGGCGTGTGTAGCAGCAGCAGCGGAAGAGGAAGGGAAAGAAGAAAAGGTGGGGGCACAGGCGTGTGTAGAAGCAGCAGCAGAAGAGGAAGGGAAAGAAGAGGAGGTGGGGCACAGGCGTGTGTAGCAGTAGAAGCGGAAAGGGAAGGGAAAGAAGAGAAGGTTGGGGCACTGGCGTGTGTAGCAGCAGCAGCAGATGAGGAAGGGAAAGAAGAGCAGGTGGGGGCACAGGCGTGTGTAGCAGTAGCAATGGAAGAGGAAGGGAAAGAAGAGAAGGTGGGGGCACAGGAGTGTGTAGCAGCAGCATCAGAAGAGGAAGGGAAAGAAGAGAAGGTGGGAGCACAGGCGTGCGTAGCAGCAGCAGCAGAAGAGGGAGGGAAAGAAGCGAAGGTGGGGGCACAGGCGCGTGCAGTGGCATCAGTAGCAGCAGAAAGGAAAGCCAAGAAAAAGAGGGCATGGGAGTGCGCACCAAAAGCCGCAGAAGCAGAAGGAAAAGACAAGAAAGTGGGGGGCATGGGCACGTGCACTAAAGGCAGAGAAGCAAGCGCAGGAAAGTGGGATGGCGGAGCAGCAAGTGAGAAAGCTGCGGGAAGAACATCTAGAGCTGAAGGGGGAAGATGTGGGAAAAGAAGTCATGAGAGGACCCGAGGCGGATGTGAGGAGCATAACAGCAGAGGCAGCGTGTAACCGGGGGCAAGGTGGCCTATGGGTAGCTGGATGGGAAGGTCCGGTGAGGGACCCGGCCAAGAAGCACGAAGAAGCAGAGTGGGAGAGCAAGGAAGAGAGGGCATGGGAGTGCGTGACAGCAGGAAAAGGACTGGAGGATACAGTGGGAGTCGCGATGAGTAAGAAAGAACAAGAGGCCATGCAGACAGTAACGGGGATTAAAGGAGAGTCATGGGCAGATGAGTCGATGGAGCCAGCAACACAGGTACTGACAGAACCAGTGGGAATGAGAGCGGCTGAGAACTGGGTGGCATGGGACAGGGAGCATACCTGTAACGAGGGCTATGCTGGAAGTGGCACTGGACACACAGAGAAGGGAGACGAAGGACCTGAGGGGTCCAACAGTGCTGGTGCGGAGGAATCAGAGAAGAGCGTAGACCGGGAACCGCCTGACGGATGCTGTGGAGAGAAGCACTCGGCCTCAGCAAGAGTGTCCAGTGACACGTGCACGGGAGACCCGAGCACGAGCTCTGGAGGGGGCAGGTTGTGGCTGAGGCAGAGCAGGTAAGGTATCAGAGGAACAGAGCTTGGAAGAAGAAAGGAGGGAGGGTGAGTGCAGGAAGGAGAAGGCAAGCAATGGGATGCTACAGATGATGAGTTTTAAGACAGCTGTCACAGAATGTATTATTGTTTGCAATAGATTCAGTTACTTGCTAGTGTAGGTGTAGTTGGGTTATGCAAAGTACTGTAGAAGGTGAGTTTGGTGCGTGGGGAGTGACGCAAAGTGGTGATTCAGGGACTTGCGAGGTGCAGGGTGGGACAAATTCAAGGGCGAGCCCTGGGCAATCTGAAGGGCCAATCCTAAAGCCTAGCGGGCAGAGCCCAATGTGAGTTACGGGAAACTGCGCAGCACGGGGTAGAGATTCAAATAGACTAGGAACTCACTGCTTAGTTTGTTCTCTCGTTTGTTTGCTCTCTATAGTGGATTCATGTTACCGTTCTACGGCTAATTCCTGCCTAGGTGACAAGGCCACTGTGAGCAGCCATCTGTGGGAGCCGGTTTCTCATGGTAGTGGTTGAGGCAGAGCAGGTAAGGTATTAGAGGAACAGAGCTTGGAAGAAGAAAGGAGGGAGGGTGAGTGCAGGAAGGAGAAGGCAACCGATGGGATGCCACAGATGATTGGTTTTCCGACAGATGCATTTGACGAAAATGACGCAACCTCATTGCCGCTTATGCAAGCGTGTATATTGAAACGACGTATCGCCGCCTTCCTCAGTTGTGAAACCCGAAACAAGGGTAACTTCGCGGTTCAGTTTATCCAGTCCAGACGATCACATCAAGGGTGGAATCTGTCAGAGGCCCGTGGACGACACGTCAGTCGCGCAATTTCCGAATTTAGCCTCCTCGTGTTGTCACACGATGGCCCGGAGCCGCACGCCCTCCGCTTTGCGTGTATTTGATGTGCGCCGATCTAGAGATTTCGACCAGGGTGCCACCAAATCACGTCATGGCCCCTTCCAAGTGACCCTCGATGGTGCTACCGTGTGCTGTCACCTTATCTCAGCGCGTGACCTGCCTCGATTGCATCAAGATAACGATGGTTCCGCACGGCGTCGGTCCCCTCCTCTTCACCTCTTCTTTGAAACCCTAAGTTAGTTCTTGCAATAGTAACAAGCATTTGTATTGCTTCCTTTTCATCTTGGCTTCCCTCTGTCCCCTAATATGCATCTCGTGTTGGGAGTCGTTCACTCCCCGCTTGTCTCTGATGACGGCCATCTTGCTCTCAGCATGTTCTGTTGTTTGACAACACAACAAAACTGAGGTCTGGAAACCGTGTGACTCTGGTGACATTTCTTTGCCGTACATATCCACACCACACATGGTCACCCGTTTTGATATGTGCTGAATTTTTGTGGTGCAAATTTCTTCCTCCTCTCTGGTCTCGTCCTCCGTCCGTGTGCCACTTTTTTGTATGTTGTATGATTCTCTAGCTCTCAACTTTCACTCCATCTCTGTTTGTATGTTTCCCCTCGTGGTCAGCTTTACCGGTTTATCTGGCAAGGATTCAGGGCTGAAAATGAATCGCTTGCTGATCATACTCCTTTCCACTTCTGCTTTTGATCTTCGTGCGCAAGTCTGCCATGGTCTCCCAAAGCCTCACACCTCTCACCTCGCTGGCACCTTGCCTTACAGTCTGGCTATCATCTTATTCCTTCATGTGCTGTTCCTCGCCACCGCTCACATCTCCATCTGCTTCACCCTCGTACACGTGTGCTCCATTTGTCTGCCTTTTCACCTTCGGTGCACTCTCTAACACCCTTGTTTTGACGTGGTGGGTAGCGAGGCGTTATAACTCAGTACACATCTTACTTACTCCCTCCTACGGACCTACCTACTGCTGCCTCCTGCTACTGCCGCTCCTCCCCTCCTTCACATGCTGCACCTCAGAACATGTCTTCCGTGTCCTGCTCCTACTTCTTCTCTCCCCTCACTTGCCCTGCCGCACCTCACTGTGCAGCCGCTACGACTACAAAACCTATTTAGTCTTCCTTCTCCTCCTGCCATCCTCTTCCCCTTACTTGCCCTCTCCACACCTCTCTCTGGATTCCAGTTGCTCTACCACTTATTCAGCTGTTGCCCACCTCCTTCCGCTTATACCCTCCTCCCCTTGCCACTGCCCCCCTCCCCCCATTCGCCCTGCTGCATCTCAGTGTGCAGGCGCATGCCTTGCAGCCATGGCTCGGATAATTGCAGTGGCCATGGGGCTGCTCGTGCATTTCCTTCTCGGCGCTGCCATCAGCATCATGCCACTAGGCATGAACGCTTGGTATCTTGCCCCATTTGCAAAGAATGTGAGTGATTACTTTGCTACCACAATTTCTCCCCGTCTAGGCAGAATTGCTCACACAATCTCCACATCGTGTGTGTCTTGCAGTTTCCAACATGACCCCCGCCCCGCCCCGCCCCACCTGTCAACTCATCCATCCTAGTCCAGTCCTTTTATATTCCACACAACAACCCACGTCCCACCATCCTTTTCACTCGCCCCCTGTCCATCTCTCACAACCTCAAATCCTCCTAATCGCCCACCCACCCTTTCTCCTCTCCGCTAATTGCTTTCCCGCCTTCTCTTGTTGCCCTCCCCCTCCCCTCCTCCTATCCCCTCGCCTACGCCCCGCACCTGCAGTTAACTGTTGAAGCCACTCTACCAAAAACGTTGTCGGTGCGTCAGGCGAGTATCTGAGCGCGCCTGGTGGTGTGCCGGCGGCAGCTGGCGTAAGCAGAAATTGACAAGATGCGGCAGGCGGATCAGAGCAAGGCAGGAGGCGCAGGAGCGGCCGGCGGTGTCTTAGGGGCGCCTGGCTGCCATAAAGTTGGATGGGGTGTGGGAAGAAGGATGGAATGGAAGGAGGGAACCAGTGGAGAAGTGAAAACAAAGGGGATGGACGATGGCCGGGAGAGATGGTGTGCATGCAGGCAGGGAACATGTGTGGTTGTGGTGTGGGCGATCTCCGGATGGAAAGATTTGCTTGAGTTTGTATCATAGCTTTTAGATGCGCCAACATGTCTTCATCCTCTGCTCGATTTTGCTCTGTTCTCTCCTCCTGCCATCTCCATCTCTCCCACTCCCCTGTTTCTACCCTTCTCGCCTACTCCCTTTCTCATTATCTCCCTTCTCCCCACCTCCCCTTATCCCCATCTCTCTGTCCCCTCTTTTCCCCTTCTCCCCTTTCCCCACCTCCCTCAATCTTCACATCTTCCTTCCCTCATCCTAGGTGGCATGCGGGGGCATCGGAGGCGGTGCAGCAGCAAGTGGAGGAGCACATGGGGCGGGGCGGGTGAAGGGGTGCAGCAACCAGGTGAAGCACGTCAAGACGCGGCAGAGTCACTTCCGCCAGCATCTCCCTCAGAGATGGGGGGGAAAGGAGGGAGGGATGATGGGTGTTGGGTGCAAATTCACATTGCACGACATCCTGCCGTCTGTTTGTACGAGTATGCGTGTGCGAATGCATTTGCGTGTGAATGGTATGTTTGTGTGTTTGTTTGCTTTCGCAATTTTCGCTTGAAGCATTTGCAGGTACTCGCAAAATGTGCGCTTCGGCATAACATTGTACGCGCTATGAACAGTACAAGCAGAAAGGACGAGCTCGCAAAGGAACCCAAGATGGAAGCTTTGCGGTTCAACCTACTTGATTGCGCAGATTCAGTTCTATCCAACTCGAAATTGTACTGTTTTGTTTGGTTGACTATAGTGTAGCAGGGCAGGCACTATAGGGGTACAATTTAGGTGAAGGTTGGATGTTGTTTGTCTGTATCTGCATGCTACAGGGCCAGGGGAAACCAGCGGAACCAGCATTTGGCTGGTTGGGCAAAGACAAAACAGGTTCTGTTTTTAGGACCTGAACCTGGTTGTTGTTTTCCCAGGTTGGAAAAACAGAACCAGAGGTTGTTCACCAACCTATCACCTGCTATTTTGTCCAGCCATGTTGGTTCTGTTGCTTGGAATTATTTGGGATCATCCCTGGTTGTTCCCAGGTTGATTCCCAAGGTCCTTGCTAGCTAGAGCTATTTATTCCTTCTCTGTTTGTACCTGAATATAGTGAAATTGATTCAAGCCAATTCCTTCCTTGCTGGAATTTCTTGTCTACGCGGTGCGACGGCGGAATGCTACCCGAGTCAACGCTAGTACGCTAGCACTCCAACGCTAGGCTAACGCTGTCCGAGCCATAACTTCGTAATGGCAGAACTTTTCGCGAGGCAACTTGGCTTATTTTAAAGCTCTTAGAGTGAGCTTCGATATAGGAAATTCTCAGCTTAATCCGATCGACGGTCTGCACGATACGCTGCGCGACGTTCAAGGTACTCTTGCTGTTTTGACTAAGTCCCTCTTGATCCCTCTCTCTACAAACTCGGACCCGAGGATAGGGGCTGGTCTTGTACCAGGCACCCAAGGACCCTTGGAGGTGACCCCGAGGAGAGGTTTTAAGTGTGATAAAGTCTTAATAGCTTGAGTTTATTAGGCCCTTACACCAACAATGGGAGGGGTGGGGAGATGGGAGGGGTGATAGAAGGGGGGGACAGAAGGGGGAGTGGGGTTGGGAGAGATGGATGGTAGGTATGATGTCGATACCATACTTGCATTTGGGGTGCTAGGAAGGAGTGAATAGTCACTTGCGGTGTTTTGATTGGTATGCGAGCGAGGCAATCGAAGGAATCATCTGGTCGGCAAATCGAGACAACATCCATTCTTTTATGTGACGAACATATCTGATAGCTTCCGCTTGCTCTGCCCCTCCTGCCCTGGCCCCAACCCCATTACCCACACCCTCCTTCCTCCACTTATTTGACTGTACTGCGTCACCTATCTTTCTAAAAACTCCCCCCTTCCCCCTTCGTGGTGCCACTTCCTTGCACACCCTCCATCCTCTCCTCACCTCACCTCCCCCTCCATGCTGCATAGGTACACACATACTTTCCCTGCCTGTAGGAGCCGTGTCGGCGCAGGACACTGGGGCCTGAGTGGGCGTGTGCGTGACACGAACGAGCTGTGGAGAAGGGGAGACGCGCACGGGATATCAACGCACACATCCAGGAGCTGCGGGATCAAGCCAGCAGGATATTACAGGTGGGCGGACGGGCGGTTGAAGGGGACGCGAAGAGCGGAGAGGAGTGAGAAAGGGCTGCTGAAGGCAATCATTTCCACGTGCGTTCCCACTTCTAAGTTATCTTCCACTCCGTATCATTCCCTGTGATTCATTTTCCGACATCTGGCAATGTTTGTATTCTCGGTGTTCATTGGATGGCTTTGTGCACTCCTTGCCCCCTATCTCCCCTTTGCTGCTCCTGGCAGTGCCATGACCTCGCCATGATGGCACCGCGTGGAGGGAGGTGAGGCTGGTGGAGACGGCAATTCAGGGGAGGGGCAGGGGCACAATAATAATGGCCACAGTGATGGTAATGAGCAAATCCAAACTGGAAGGTCCACCACTTTATATAACCCAAGTTTTACATGAGCAACCGTGCTTGTGCGTTCCTAACTGTGATCATGACGCAGCAGATGTGCATGGGCTTTAATGGACCTAGGCTCTAATTGACCTGGGCTTTGATTGACCTTTGCTCTGATTGTCCTAGACTTGGATTCGCCTGGGCTATAGATCAGGAGCAACGTACAGCACCAACTGCAGCATTAGCAGCACCATCCGCACCAGTAGCATCAGCAGTTGAGGTCAGGCAAAAGAAGCAGAAGATGCAGAAGAAGCAGAAGAAGCAACTTCATTGCAAAGGCTTCAAAGTCAGAGAGAGGAAGCACCTGAGAAAGAAAGAGGTGCTTCTGAAAGGAGAAATTGAGATTCTTAAGTGTAGAAACGAGTTTATGATCGAGGAAACAAGCTATTCGAGCGTAGAATTGAGTCCCTGAAGGAAAAAGATGAACTTCTTGAACAAGAAAATGAGCTTTTATATGATTGCTGCAATTGTGTGGGTGGGGGAGATGGTGGTGAGCCAGTGGAAGAGACAAGGGGGAGGTAGTGGAAGTGAGGGAGGGAGGGGAGGGGATGCTGTTGGTGTAAGGGCCTAATAAACTCAAGCTATTAAGACTTTATCACACTTAAAACCTCTCCTCGGGGTCACCTCCAAGGGTCCTTGGGTGCCTGGTACAAGACCAGCCCCTATCCTCGGGTCCGAGTTTGTAGTGAGAGGAATCAAGAGGGACTTAGTCAAAACAGCAAGAGTACCTTGAACGTCGCGCAGCGTATCGTGCAGACCGTCGATCGGATTAAGCTGAGAATTTCCTATATCGAAGCTCACTCTAAGAGCTTTAAAATAAGCCAAGTTGCCTCGCGAAAAGTTCTGCCATTACGAAGTTATGGCTCGGACAGCGTTAGCCTAGCGTTGGAGTGCTAGCGTACTAGCGTTGACTCGGGTAGCATTCCGCCGTCGCACCGCGTAGACAAGAAATTCCAGCAAGGAAGGAATTCGCTTGAATCAATTTCACTATATTCAGGTACAAACAGAGAAGGAATAAATAGCTCTAGCTAGCAAGGACCTTGGGAATCAACCTGGGAACAACCAGGGATGATCCCAAATAATTCCAAGCAACAGAACCAACATGGCTGGACAAAATAGCAGGTGATAGGTTGGTGAACAACCTCTGGTTCTGTTTTTCCAACCTGGGAAAACAACAACCAGGTTCAGGTCCTAAAAACAGAACCTGTTTTGTCTTTGCCCAACCAGCCAAATGCTGGTTCCGCTGGTTTCCCCTGGCCCTGTAGCATGCAGATACAGACAAACAACATCCAACCTTCACCTAAATTGTACCCCTATAGTGCCTGCCCTGCTACACTATAGTCAACCAAACAAAACAGTACAATTTCGAGTTGGATAGAACTGAATCTGCGCAATCAAGTAAGTTGAACCGCAAAGCTTCCATCTTGGGTTCCTTTGCGAGCTCGTCCTTTCTGCTTGTACTGTTCATAGCGCGTACAATGTTATGCCGAAGCGCACATTTTGCGAGTACCTGCAAATGCTTCAAGCGAAAATTGCGAAAGCAAACAAACACACAAACATACCATTCACACGCAAATGCATTCGCACACGCATACTCGTACAAACAGACGGCAGGATGTCGTGCAATGTGAATTTGCACCCAACACACTCCCCCTCAGCCTGCCGGCTGCATCCCCATCATTCCATACTAGTTCATGCTCATTCCACTCATGCGCACACAACGCCAATGAGGCTCATCCGCAAGCCTCTTGGTGAGGAAGTCTGCTGGCTGCTGGTGAGTCTTGATGTAGATCGGATTCACCGTCCCCCTCTTCACCTCCTTACGCAGCCAGTGCCACTTGATACGCATGTGCTTATTCAGCCCATGAAGCACAGCGTTCCTGGCCATCCCAAGAGCTCCCTTGCTATCACAAAACAGCGGCGTAGCAATCTTTTGCTCCTGGCCAATCTCCTCTAATAGCCTCCTCAGCCAAATCACCTCCTTCACCCCATGGAACATCGCCATGTACTCTGATTCCACGGAAGAGAGTGCTGTCTCCGTCTGCTTCTTGGACCTCCAACTAACAGGTCCTCCCCCTACTACGCAGATGTATCCTCCCACAGATGAGGAATCTTCTTTTTCAGAGGCCCACGTAGCATCGGTAAAGCAAGTGAGAAAGAGCTTGCCTTCTCCAAGCCTCTCCCCCTTCTCTTTCAGCACCTCAACCCCTTTCTGCTTCACCTGCGCAGATGCGGAGTATTGAACTCCAATGCTTGGGTGAGAGTTCAGGTACTTCACCACACGCTCAGCTGCATCCACCTGCTCCTCTGATGGATTCTGCACTACCCTAGCCAGCTGCCCAACCGAGAAAGAGATGTCGGGTCTCGTGTGAACTGCTGCATACAAGAGGCTGCCCACCAAGGACTGAAATTGCTGCTGCTCCTCGGCTTCAACCCCTTCATCCTCTGCAGCTTTCACAAGCTTGAATTCTGCTGGCAGGGGAGTTGCAACCTTGCGCTCATTCTCAATTCCGTACTTCTCCCCAAGCTCCTTGATGAACTTCTCCTGGTGCAGTTTCAACCACCTGTGATCTGGATCCCTCTCTACGTGCATCCCGAGGTAGTACTTTACCTCCCCAAGGTTCTTGCACTTGAAGTTCTCCATCAGCTGCTGCTGCACCTTCTGGATCTCCTTCATGCTGCTGCTAAAGAGAAGAATGTCGTCCACATAGACCAGAAACAGCACCAGCTTCTCCCCCTCCCCCTTGAGAAAGAGGCTCTCATCACAGCTGCTGGTCCTGAATCCCATCTCCTCTAAAACAGCTGCCAACTTCTGGTACCAGCAGCGTGGCGCCTGC